TTATATTGCGTCAGTGAAAGAGGCTGGTGAGACTGTCACAACGCGTTCTATTTATTACCAACGCGCGTGATTGCGTTTATTTTGTATTTATATTTTCAAAATGTATCACTGGCTGCGTTTTTTTTTGTGTTACGTTTCGCAACTGAACGTCCAAGCTGACCTTGTTTTGGCTGTAAAACTTGGAACTGAAAAAACAGACGAACAAAAATGAAAAATAAAATCTATAAAAATACGAGTGAAAATATGATTTACGCCCGTCCCTTTTCACATACTGCGAATATAATTAAAGCGCGGTGGTCGTGGCGCAGCGCGTGTTCGAATTTCATGTAAATAAACAGGTTAAAATAAACAATGTATTTTACACGCGTTGTATACGTCGCTGTGAGTCCCACATCGAACAGGACGCGGCGCAACGACTGCCGCCCTTTAAATATCATTTGTATGGACGAGTTGAGCAAATTACAAAAACGGTGGCAAAATGTTAACCCCGCTTATTCAATACTTTATTAGTAATAATTTAGTATTATCAGTATTATTATACATCTGTCACCGTAATGCCATACGTCACAGCGTGCCGTAATTTTGTGGTATTTTACGGGGTATTTTAATCCTGCCATGTAAGGAAATGCGAATTCCAAATATAGAATGATTAGCCGCGTAAGCTTCCTCTACAGACGGTGACAGATGTATAATAATATGATTTATATTGACCAAAATGAAAAGTTGGTGTACTTTTGTGTCAGAGACATTTTTCTGCTTTAAATGTTACCACGCTGTCCTTCACAGACGGCCTTTATCTTTCTACGCCAATATTAAAATAACAAGTTTTAATATGAATAATAGTTTGAATATTTTGCTCCAACACTCACTAATAAGTATGGTAGTTATTCCCATGGTACATTTTTGTTGTTGTTACACTGTTCGTTGGGATACGATTGTGAGCCGTTTTCACCAAGTACAACAAAGCTGCAAATTGCCCTGTACTTCATATCAACATTATATGCCACAGTAAAGGAAGGTTGGAAGGGGAGGGGAGGGTGGAAAGACGTGTGCTGATTATCAAACTCTACCACAAAAGTGGGTCACTTGAGTTTTTTCTTTCTTTTTTCCCTCGTTTGCTTTTCAAAAATTTAATTTTGTAAAAAAAATCACAATTTGTTTTGGAGTTGAATGTTAGCACCTCTAAAACACCACTGGTTACTTAGGGTTACCCACATTACATTTTTTTTAGCCTGATCCTGGTGACAATTTTATAAAGGCATACAGTGTCTGCTTAGGAATCCTATGTAACATCAATTTGAAAATGGTTTTGCTTTGTAGGAGCTTCTTTTCTAAGTGCAGTAGTAATTAATATGCACTTACAATTCAATATAGGCAGTGTATTTATGTGATTAATGTACGTTTTATTACACCATGTTTGTTGGTGATTTACAGAGATTTATTCATTATATATATAATTGTTCATTGAAATCGAATGATACACAATTGTAATAATTACTGACACATAGAAAACAGTGCAATTAATCAACCCTGAGTGAATTATGCAATTAAACTACCCTTGCACATGTATTACCTGAACTTGTATTGTTTTCAATTGAGAATTATTTAACATACTTTCCGGCCAGTCTTTACAGACCTCATCCAAGCATGTTTATATGTTCATGTTCTGCCCTAATTGTGTTGGGTCCAAAATGTGGAGTTTAAACTGTGAATATTGAACCTGTATGGTATCTTATAAAAATCTTATAAGATAGCAAAAAATTTCTTATAGGAAACATAACTGCATAAAGAATTTATGGAAGATGCTCGATACCTTATTGCATTGTAAATTTGCAAATTTCTTATAAGTAACATTATTGTCAATGAAATAGTCCCCGTTGAGTTTTTAGTGACTGTATCAATTTTAACAAAGAATGTTAATTATATGTTTTCAGCATGTTAAAAATGTGTTACTTCAAATGGCACCTTATTCAGGCTTTGTTCAGTCAAATTTATATGACACCTAGAAATAAATTTATTCTCATATTATACAAAATTATATAATCCATGCAGAAACCAGTTGAACATGATGACATGCTTAAATGTTTATTTTTTTTACTTCTTTGGGCAAAAATGATAAACGGATGCATGCATCAGTAACCCACCATGAGTGATGTTCATACCAAGATTAAATGAAAACATGCAGATAATATTCAAATATTGTTTCATGAAAATGTATGCCAGTCAGGTAAAAATCATCAAAATAACTGAAGATAACATTCAACCTATTATGTCGTACCTTTGTACTAACTTTAAACCAAATCCATAAAAACACCTCAGAGAAATTATCAGAATGCTGAATGGCTGCCAGTTGGTCATTTTGAGTCAAATCACACAAAACAATGACATGCAACAGTAACAAACAATGAGCGATTTCAATACAAAGTTTGGTCAAAGGACACATGCCGATCAACTAATACGTCACAAACATCATGGCAGGCTGTGTTTTTTACCGAAGCGATTGAGTGATAAAAAATATCCACTCCTGATAAAACTAAGTAAAATTTTACATTTATTTCTTATCAAAAAAACGAAGTAAAATTTTGTGCTTGGCATCATGACTGAGTAAGAGGAATTATTGGTATAATCGGTGTATAACATCGCGAAGTAAGTTATGTCACGTCGTAACGTTCGGAAGTTTTATTTGTTCGTTCATTACTGTGAATATATACGTTTTAGAAATTGATGATACGAATTATAAATTACAACAACACTCCAAGTAATTACGTGGTCGATTTTTTGAAGGAGAATGTATTTAGAGTAAATAAGATCGTGAAAATATTCCTGGCTGAAACGGTTCAAATTTATTTAACTTTTTACAATAGACATTAATATTGCAACAATTATTTATTTGTTTCTGTTTTTTAGTCTGCAGCATTTGCATTTCGAATATATTTAATTTTTAATACATTGTGAAACATAATGTCTTAATTCCAAAAATATTTGCTGCGACCGAACTCATTAATATTCATTGCTAATTAATATTCATATAGCTCATTAATATTCATAGCCGACCAGCACTCATGTTGGGCTGGCGAGATCCCTGGCCGATATCCTTTTTTATAAATACAAATTTACAGAGAACATACTGTTTTTTTTATCAGGATAAAACAAATGAGAAATCAAAGATTTATTAAATAATAACTACACATACTTATAGCATTAATACTTATTGATATGACTATAATAACATCAATATGATGCAATGTCAGTGAAAGATATTTTAAACCTTAACTATACTACCAAGAAATAAAATGCCATATCTTGCGATGGTATTTGCTCCAGATTTCATTTCAGTGAAAAAAAACTACAATAAATCCCATCATGCATTGCTGTATACTTTCTACTTTGAGTACTTGCTAAACATAACTAACATAATACATACTTTATGTACTGGGAGTACATAATGTTTGATATTTGCTTGAACACAGTGATAAAAATGTGGTAAAATTGTTGTCTTGTAAATTTGAAAGGAAGGGACATAATTACTTTACAGGAAACAACTTAAAAGACTGTTGTGTGTATATTAAACTAATCTTAATAGAAAATGGCACATATTTACTTTATAGCATACTTTATAGTTGAACAAACAATCCCCCATGTGATTTAGTGACTCCCTAAGATGCTGAAAACTCTAACAAAAATGAATCCACAGAACTGCTTGGTGATGTTTGGCCATTGACCGTAACTTCTGATACAAATATGTTTTTACATCACACATACTACAGTACTTAACCTGTCAAAATTTGGCCCAGAATACAACTTTAATTTAAAAAATTGCATTTAGTGATTATTTCTAATATGGCAACCGTATATTGAAAATTATGGTAAATGATCAGTCAAATTTTGTGAGTAATGAATTTTCATTACAGCTGCAGCTGTTATGTCTTCAGCTTTCATACAGCCATGGTGCATTGCATTGTGGGATTTAAAACAGACATTGTCAGTCATGAAAGATCAAGTATCAAGAACTGCTTGTATCCATGGTTACATTCTCAACACACCAAACTTCGTTTCTCTTTCATTTGGGAAGTGTTTAACAATTGAGAGACTCTTGCTCAGAACCTGTAGGTAGTAAACAAAGAAATATGCCAATCATTACTACGGGATATATTACTTGTCTAGTTTATTCATGTTTCATAAAACCAATATACACTATAACAAATAACACCCATATTGAGGATGCACAATAACCTGTAAAACTCATCAAATTCACGGAATAACTTTATTGTATATTAACAGTATATTGTATTTAGGAGTCTCAGTCAGGTAAAAGTTCTCTACGCTGCAAGCGTCAGACTTCATGTCTGGTAATACTTATTATCATTCTCATAGAGAACTCAACTTTCTTTTATTACTTTATTGCTGTAGACTGATAGAAAGATTGTATTTCTAAGGATGCAATAAAGATTATTATTATTATTATTATTATTAGAGGGACAATGAATATCAGATAAACAACCAAATATGCATATTGTGTATTAGCCACCCAAAATACAAACATCACATGACACACACAAGTCATTGAAAATGACACAGTCCCCGTTAAATTTTTGAAAGTTTTCTTTGTGCTCGTCATATTAAAGCTGAGGGGTTGTCACGAGCGTGTCCTTGAAACTTGAGTTCCAAGTGGCGCATATAACAGATTGTAAAACACGTGTTCCGTGTAGTAGTAATATGGCCAAAAATATTGGTCGTTATTCGACCATCTTTGATCTGATTATGAAACACACTGATATGTATGATGTATGTGCCAAATACGAATGAAAATGGTACATAAATTGTGGAAATATAGTAGTAAGGCCAAAAACTCAGATGGCTGTCAATCGGCCATCCTTGGCCATCTTTTGAAACAAATTGTCATGGACATGCATCCTAACATGTATAAAGTACATGTATGTGCCAAATTGGAATGAAAACTGACAGAGCACGTCCAAGATACCGCATAAAAAAACAAAAACAAGATGCCTGCCAGTCGACCATCTTTAATCCAATTACGAAATAAATCGTCATGGACATGTATCCTAACATGTATAATCTATGTACTAAGTTTGAATGACAACTGACAAAGCATGTCCAAAATACAACATTTAAAAAAAACCAAGATGGCTGCCAGTCGGCCATTTTGAATCGAAATACTAAACCACTGCATGTACATATGTCCTACATAAGGTACTAGGCACATGCAAAGAATGAACAGAATCTGTCAACAGGATTCTGAGATATGACTCCGAACAGACGCACGGACCCACAGACGCACGGACAGATGGAGACCGAATCATAAGTCCCCGTTTTCGGACTTCGTCCGAACGGGGACTAAAAATGGTATGGTAATGCCCGTTATAATTTTTTTTAATAATTTGGGTAGCATCATAGCATTTTGTATTTGGCTGTGGTGGTTTATTTATGTGTGACAACCCCTCCCCTTTTTTGTCACAACCAAATTATTATACGAATATAATAAAATAAACATTGACTCTCATCTGGACAGTCAATTGCGCCTGTTCAATTCTTAACAGAGACTGAAATGTTTTGTCTCAATAAAATCCAGTTTAATGCAAGACAGCCATAGGATGGAAATGGACTAAAGATACTGGAGTTGGTGAGCATTTTTGGTCATACTTTGTGGTGTGAGGTCTTCATACAAGATATTATGACAGCTTTGAAATATGATGTACATGTTAAATATAGCGACACATTGTATTTGAAAATGATAGTAAGGGTTTAAACATTTGAAATCATTGGGGGGGTGACCAGTGCAATTTTTGTTTCTGAATGTCTTATATTTGTACATTTTTCTTTTTCTTAAATGTGCCAACTTTTTTTTCATGAAAATGTTTTTTTTTTGCGGTGACTGGCTCGCAAATTTTTTCGTCAACAAATATTACCCCCCCCCCCATGATTTAAAGTGGTCAATCCTTAATATAGGAATATTTAAGATGATGTACCTGTCTTGTGTGTTGAGGCATTATGATTCCATCATCCCATATCCTGGCAGTTGAGTAAAATGCATCCCGACAGTCATCCTATTATAAACCAAAGAAACATTATTGGCGGCATACAGTACAAATGCAGAATATTCCAAATTATATAGCTGGGCTGTTTGTTATGCACTAATTGAAAGCAATATGTAGCAATAGTTTGCAGTCTGTGGCACCCATGTAATTTAAATCTGGTAATTGAATTCAGAAACATTATGCAAAATAAGTAATTAATATGCATATAATTTAATTCTAAAAGTAACAAATCTGAGGATTTTCCAAAAGTACTTCTGTACTAAGTATCATTTAAATATGTGTTAGCCACACTTCCATATATACAGACCAGAAAATGGCAAAGACTCTTATCGTGTGTTTCACAATTGGAAGTAAAATAGCTTCAACAAAAACAACATCACCAACTTGCTCAGAGATATCTCCACATACCAAGTATCACCAACATATACATTGACATCACCCACATACAAAGTGACATTACCCACATACAAAGTGACATCACCCACATACAAAGTGACATCACCCACATACAAAGTGACATCACCAACATACACTGACATCACCAACATACGCATGCAGAGTAACATCACCAACATACAGTGACATCACCCACATACAGTGACATCGCCAACATACACAGTAACATCACTAACATACAGTGACATCACCCACATACACAGTGACACCACCCACATAGTCAGTAGCATCACAAACATAGTCAGTGACAACACACACATACAAAGTGACAACACCCACATACAAAGTGACGTCAACATACACAGTAACAACACCAACATAGTCAGTGACATCACCAACATACCCAGTGACATCACCCACATACAAAGTGACAACACCCACATACAAAGTGACATCACCCACAAAGTGACATCACCCACATACAAAGTGACAACACCCACATACACAGTGACATCACCCACATACACAGTGACATCACCAACATACACAGTAACATCACTAACATACAGTGACATCACCCACATATACAGTGACATCACCCACATACACAGTACCATCACCAACATACACAGTAGCATCACCAACATAGTCAGTGACAACACACACATATAAAGTGACAACACCCACATACAAAGTGACATCAACATACACAGTAACATCATCAACATAGTCAGTGACATCATCAACATACCCAGTGACATCACCCACATACCCAGTGACATCAACATACACAATAACATCACCAACATACACAGTGACATTGCCAACATACACAGTGATATCACCAACATACACAGTGACATCGCCAACATACCTAAGAATGAACACTATGACTCAAATTATATTTCATATGACATTTTTATGGCAATTTAGACTTACCTGCAAACCAACAGCAGCATTGGGCCATATCCATAGAAATCTTGGATCAAATGACCTGCCACACTGATAGACAAATAAATAAATTTGATGACTGAGTGAGTGAGTGAAAGAAAAGGCTGACTTTGTACTGATTTATAACCTTAGAATGTGCAAACATAAATAACTAATGGCTTATAGTCAAAGGGCAGAACAAACACTATGATAAAGAAATGATTGTACTACCGGTATATATATTTATTTTGTTGCATTAGTTGTGCATTTAAAAGTTGGATGAGAAGGGGGATTACATTTTTGAGTCCATAGCATTTCCCAGATTACAGATTATACATTGTACTGTTATTTGTGGCGCAAAAAATCCCTTCCACATACCATTATTACTGTTGTCAATAATTATTAATGACTATATTCATGTTAGTCTGCTTAAAATTTGAATTATACATATTAATGAGGTCAAACAGGTTTAATATATTCTCACTGATCACAGTGACAGACAGGCTTAATTTCTGTGCTGCATGGATTTTAATGGGGGACTGATTGGCAAACTGATTGGCAAACTGTGTCAGGAATATCATCTATTTCCCAGAATGCAGCTGCAAACAAGTCTTTACATTGATTGAGTTTGGTGAACTTACAATTGGACTGACAAAACTTTTTATACAATATGCACAGATTTGTGTGTACACTACCCAAAACTTATAAATACAACCTTTGATCCCTGACCCCTGACTCCCGACTCCCAAGCTACTCACCATTGTCAAATTTTCATTCTGAAAACTTGCTCCAACCACCACTGTAATCTTAGGTACTTCAGCACATGCAATCGTTGCTACCAGTTTACCTTTACATCGAAGTGTCTCTGCTTGGTGAACTTTGTTGGTTGCCGTGGTACCTTCTTCTGATTCAGTATTCTGAAGGAATATTATAGGTATGTTTCTCTGACAGCACAGTTCTACAAAATGAGCACCTTTCAATGATGCATCATGGGATATGGCGCCTTGGTTAGCAACGATACCTACAAGATGGCTGGTAATAGAAAGAACAAAACACAGGCTAAGCAGAATACTTGTGAAAAGTTCAATGCAAATAAATTTATTAAACAACCCATGTGCAAATCATGGGAACAAATTGTAACTAAACAAAACAGGATGTGGTGGCCATGTTATCTGATAAAAATATCAAAGCATCAGCACAATTTCAACAGATCAGGGCTTGAGATGGTTGCTATAGAAACTTCATACCCACATATCCTGGCAAATCCAGTGATTAACGTTGGTCCATAAATGGTTTTAAATTCATAGAAATAACTGCCATCAATTATGTGTGCCAGGAGCTGAAATAAAAGAAGATATAACGTCAGTACCCCAGTATGTGTATAGTCAGTATGTACAGAGACTGGTATACTTTACTGATGAATCAGGATTTGCTTTGACAGTAGTTGTGCTGATTAACTGGTGTTTCATTGACACAACAACAAATCATACATTGATCTGAAAAAAAACACATTTTCCTATGGTTATGTAATTTGGTAAAAAGAAATTCACAATTCATAAAAACCAAATAATTGTGAAAATGAAAGAAATCAGCTAAAGGCCACACAATTTTTGTTTATTCCTCAAGTTTATACAGCCACAAAAAAAATACTTCTTCTCGAAGACCAACCTCTCCAGCAGTCAACAGGCCGACCCAACATTGGGATATTTCAGTTGTCTTGGGATCCCAAACAAATCAGTCCTGTTAGAGGGCACATGGGGATACCATGAAATTTACATATGTTGTAATTTGTACAGGATTGGAAACAGTATTTAGACGATGTGAATTCACTTACTTTGTACATATCAATTTGTTCACATGGTTTTGTTGTAACAAATGCTGATAAGTTCTCTGATGGAAAAAGTGGTTCTTTATATTTCATTGGTTTCAAATCATAGATAGAGTGCAGGTTTAGAGTTTCGACAATGTCACGCCCGATTGCAAAGACTTCTTCTTCCGTCTCTGCAAAATGATCAGTAACACCGCTAACCCTGAAAAACAATATGATAAAACATAGAAAACTCTGGATACCTTGCCTAATGACAGTCATTTCAAATTGGTAATGTTTTTGGATTCATAACAAAGCTATAATAACTACTTTTTCAGTGAATATGCAGAGAAATTACACTTTTAACAATTAAGCAAATACAGGGTGTAACAGTTGATGATACATTTTGATTCTTAAAATATGTTATTAAACAATGAGAATGCTGTTTTATACTGACGCAATTCTCTAGAAATTTCTGGACATTGGCGATGGCATTATTTAAAATCCAACGCTGTTTGCATGATTTTTTTGTTCAAAACTGGTGATTAAAAAACGTAAATGTGTGAGTGTGAAGAAGTATTTACCCGTACAAAATAGAAGAATAGAAGTAATTTAATTTTTTTGAAAATGAAAATATTTTCCAATGATCAGGTTCCATGACCCTAAATTGACAGTCAAATTGTTGGTATTTCAGAAAACTTTGATTTGCAAAAACAGAAATCCCTCAAAAGTGGAGGGGGACGCATGGAGTCAAGCATGGATGTTAACACAGTCATTATGGTATAATACACACAAACACTATACTCACAATATAGGCCATTCAAATCTGATGTACAGTACAGTCTGAGCGAAACTTAAATAACATTTTTAAGCAAGTATCATTGTCATCAATGATCCTAACCTAATCTTTGTAGTATTTACCTATGTTACTAACATGAGATATTTAGGACGATTACACTGCAAAATGGTGGGCAAGGGGGGAGCTGGTACAGGTTACAGGAAATAAAAACGGTATTTTACGTTTTTACAGGAGATAAAATGAAAGTTCCATTTACAGTAAAAAATAGGTTTTTAAATTTTACAGATAAAGCAAATTCATAATTACATTTTTATAATATAATTTGTGTCTAAGAATCAAAAATGGAAATTGCATACAAATTATGACATTTAATGTGAAAAATGCTTTATACGCTTACAAAAAATAAGATCTTTGTACAAATTACGGACGAATAAAATAGCTAATTACATTTTACACCTTGCCCATGTCTATGAATTTATGTTTTTTTTTATTCAAATTACATTATTACGAAAAAACAAACATTGATTACAGCTTACGAAAATACCCCTTGCCGACCCTCTAGGTATGAATCAGTTTTAAAAGCATGCTAAGCTCCTAAGCCAGCTCAAAACTCTTAAGCCAGCTCAAAGATAGATAAATGTTATGTTATGCTCAGGCCATACTGTGGAAAAGGTTCCAAATTTGAACACAGAAACTGGGTGTGACTACAACTTATACATTATTGAGTTCTTGAATGACATACTTCACAACCAATCAGAGTTTACGTTACATTTACTAACTACATATATACTGTTAATGCAGTTCAATTGTAACACAGGTTGAGATTGGATGAAAAGTTGAATGCAAATCTCAGGCGCTTTTATTATCTTTATAGTTTGTAGTTGATAACGCATAACCAGAATTGGAAGGATTTAAATTATACCATGACAACACATTCTAAACTCTTAATTTCAATAAAATAAAAATATTCAGATTGGTAGGTGTTTCAAAACAAGTGTTTATACCTGGGCAAGAGGGAGGGACAATTTTTGATGTTGCATAATAAAACAAATTTTAATTTTCATCCTTTGTTAAAACTCTTTTTACATGTTTCTCTACTTCTATGAAAATTTTATTTCGTTGTTGATGAAATTGTTTGCAGGACATTAAAAAATTATTTTCATCTTCAACTTGGAATCACAAATACCAGAAATTCTCTCATCAACATAGATATTTTACAGTGATGACAGAGAGTGATTGCTGAGCTTAAACTTTGTTACTTACTTGCAATGAACAGTAGCCCCACCAAGATCTTCAGTAGTTACAATTTCCTTGAGTGCTGCATATACAAGTGGTGGTCCACCTAAAAACACACTACCAATGTTGTGTACAATACCTGCTTCATCAGACATAGAGGGTACATAGGCACCACCAGCTGTACATGAACCACACACTAAGGCAATCTGAAATGCATATCGAATACATTTTTTGCTTTCAAGATCATATTAAAAAAATCCTCCAGATACTACTTGATAACACAAAATGGACATTTAAAAAACAAATTGACAGTCATATTTCAAAACATTGCATCATATATAAATGACCATATTTGGTAATGGTTAAATTCATTCATTATCATATTTGTGCAATGGTGCACAGAATACATAAGGGGTATTTTCGTAAGCTGTAATCAATGTTTGTTTTTTCGTAATAATGTAATTTTAATACATAAATAAAAAACGTAAATTCGTAGACATGGGCAAGGTGTAAAATGTAATCAGCTATTTTATTCGTCTATAATTTGTACAAAGATCTTATTTTTTGTAAGCGTATAAAGCATTTTTCACATTAAATGTCATAATTTGTATGCAATTTCCATTTTTGATTCTTAAACCCAAATTATCAAATATATTATAAAAATGTAATTAGGAATTTGCTTTATCTGTAAAGTGTAAAAACCTATTTTTTTTACTGTAAATGGAACTTTCATTTTATTTCTTGTAAAAACGTAAAATACTGTTTTTATTTCCTGTAACCTGTACCAGCTCCTCCCTTGCCCCACACCCCCACATAACTGTCCACAAAAAACAACTGTGGACAGTGAATGAAACTTTTGATGGCAGAGATTTTAAAAACAATAATTTGGAATCTTTCTTGAACTACCCAACCATACAAATATTTCAAGCAAACATTGAGTAGAAAATTTTACCAGCCACCAATAATCAGTCTGGGAAAATGGCAGCATTTTGTTTACTGCATGCATATGTGTATTATTTATTCATGCAGGAATTGAGTACGTCACACCTCAAACTGTTGCTGTTTGGAGACTGGTCTATAAAAGGGATGTGTCGTCTTATTCTACCTGTGGAACCACACCTCAAACAATTGCCGTTTCCGGATCGGTCTATAGATGGACTATGTCCTACTTTACCTGTGGAATTCCTTCTGATGACATCATCGCTTGATTATAAAATCCACGGCCGCCCATTAGCTTATCAGGAAATATTTCATCCTAAAAATAAATTGTAAATGTATAAATAAAATTCAATGTGAAGCATATCCCAAAAGACCTTCTTCTAATGTTTTCATGCAACTTTTTTTTAAATATATACTTAAGTAATTGTTTGAGTTTCCAGTTGGTCTTGAAATCTATGGGAATTGAATTTGAGCAATTTATTTATTTCTGTTGCCCAGGAAGTATCTACTATGCCTGATTGACTACTAAATATCACCATGGGAACAGCAGCTTTTAAAACTGGAAGCTCAGCTGACTTTCAAGAAAGTTCAATAATTTTGAGTTCTGAAAATTATCCAAAAATTTGACAAAACAATCTACTTGATAAAATACTAACTTGTAATGGAAGAAAAGCGCCCCCGCTATCAACAATGTAAATACAAGGTAACCGGTTATGATGTCCTATCTCTTGTGATCGAAGTAGTTTCTTCACTCCAATTGGATAAATAGTTCCTCCCTTGATAGTAGCATCATGACCAGTTATCAAACACGGTATACCATGAATCCAACCTATACCTAGGAAGAAAAGAGATAGTGCTCAAAATTACTTCAGGTATTTTTTCAGACCAAAATGGCAGCCAGTCGGTCTATGTTCAATGGAATGATGTACAGACGTTGTCTTCCATTGTCTTTGTACCAAAATTGAATGCATGCATGAAAAATCAAATGCATGGACAGACAGAATCTAAAACTTTCAGACTACCGTAACATTCCACAAAAAGTAAAACCACTTTAAAGGGCGGTGGTTGTCACATGTTTGATTTTCATGAAAACAAACAAATATGCTTTACATGCATTGTGAATGTCACTATGAGTCACATATCAAACATAACGAGATTACCACCACCCTTTAAGGGTCTGTCAGAGACGCTGGACATGTACTCTGTCTTCACTGCTTGTCAGCCATATGTCACTTTAACAACAAAAATTATTGTTTTCATGAACATATGTAATTATTTCATTAATTGTCACTAATATAATTTTCAATAATCAAATAAAATACACTGAGTTTATGAGTGCATGAATGCATTTCATAAAAACAACTTGACCAATCACAATGGATTAAGAGATGCACGGTAATAAATCAACCAATGATTTGGGGAGACCTGCAAAGAATCATGGATAATGGGCATTATCACACGCATGCTATAGTCAAAGAAAGCATATACTTCGAACTTGAATAAATCACACAGGTTTTCTGGGATAATATATATATATCCATAAAAACCTGAAAGTTTACATAACAGACAGACTTGTACACATTTTATGAGTGTTCCAAACACAAAAATGAAATAAATCGCATTTAAATACATTCATTAAAAAATTGTACCACAAATTACACCAATAATGTAACCAGAAACTGTAATGTGACATCATTTTTTTTTTAAACTAAAAATGCACTACCGATAAACCTGATTCCAGTTTCCACGTCGGGCATATGGAGATGACATATGGGCCAATTCTAGGTAATCCAGGTTAGAACAACAATCAACAATAATATCATCACTCGGGATCATAAAATGAACTAGGTCAGACAGTGCCTTAATTTGTGAATGGTGGATGGGGATGGGAACATCATGGTGGTAAGGCAAAGTTTGTTTTTATTAATTTAATGGCAGCTTCAGTAATTTTCCCTGTTACCACATATCCCAAGGTGGGAATGGTCAGAATCTTGACCTCGGCATTATATCATATATGTCTGAATATTGATGCTTTTACAAACAAGGGTACTGGTTTCTGTCTCTGTGTGTTCTGTTTCTTGTCTGTAGGAGTTATATCAATTATTATAAGAATAATAATAATTAATACAACAAGTAATTCTACGGTTCAAAACGGTAGGGAGAATTAATATAACACCTGAAACACTGCCGGCAGCGGGAACATCACCATATTCCAACCCAAAACCAGCTAAAGGTGATAACTCTAAAAAATCTTCGCCGTCATTATCAACTAGCAATTTTATACGATCTCGGACTAAAAGTTTCTTATTTTTCTTAGTGTGTCTCTCAATGCCTTTCTCGCCTCCTCCTTTCTTAGCAAGTTCAAATAATTGTTCATATTTTCTTTGCAGTAGTTTGCTGTGTTCTATGCGTTGTTTCACATTTTCTGTTTGTGTGTCGATCGTACCATCCAATAACCGCCCTCTACCACCGCCTTTTATAATAACATTTGTTGTCTTTGTCGTTGAGACGCTACGAACGACCACGCTTTGCATGCGAAATATCAGTCCAGTTCTACTGCACGTTCTTCTCAGGTTATTCAACATCTCGAAAAGTTGTTTAACTTCATCGATGCCCGTACGATGACAATGTTTTGATCATTAATCAACTCACTGAGAAACGGTACTGTCAGAGTTCAAGACAAGTTGAAAGGTTACGCAGAACCCTTTAAGCAACCAATAATAAATACTAGTAGGTGTAAATATTGCACAGTCATACTGAAAAGTGTGTAATAATGTTTTTGTTTTGTTTGAGAGAGACAAATATTTTCTGAGCAATAATCTATTCCACATCACCCATAATTATTCCGAATATTTAAACCCGAATTATTCCGAAAACGTTGTATGAAAAGGTCAATATTAGAATAAGCTAGGGCACCTTATCCGCCATTTTGGAAACTGATTTAGGTGGTGTGGTGTTCTTTGTTTTGGTACGTGATTGGTACGTATTTTTCTTTACTTTCACAGAAATAGAGAATATAAACATTTTAAATGTACATCAGTAGTATATGTCGCTATGTAGACAGTGGACTGCGTTGCCGATGATCGTGACAATATGCATACTAAATACCTTATCGTGTGTGACGCTATTAATGTTTTTCAGGTCTCGCACCACATTTAGAATCTCCAAAGACGCTCACTATGCGACGATTCTGTACCTATAGGTTTGACATAGAGTTTTATTATGTTATCAATTTCAAAATAAACTTATCATTGAATAGCACTTACTGAACTTTTACAATCATCAACATCGAAATGTGGTCCATGGCTGATGACGGCCTAGCTGCGGTTCCGTAGCTCTTTATTGCGACCTACAATTGAATTTCACCCTATCAATTTCATTTGGACGTCTTCTTTTTAATTTTGTTGTTGTACTTCGAACAAAGAGCTACGGGATCTATCACCGTTTAAAAACAGAAATCTGGCATATGTAAATTAAATCGCTTTTGCTTTCGATTATGATGGTGTGACGTACCTTTATTGTGAATTGATCGCTGGATGAATAACATACAAACTTTTGTTTGCAATTTGTGTTCATAAATAAGCAATAATTTGTGTTATTTTCAAACAATTACCGCAGAAACCAAGCAAATTACGAGAAAACGGCAGCCATTGACATCCCACACTCCCTAGCGCAGAATAAATTTAATCTCGTTCGGCAGTCATGTGATACAGTAGTGCACAGTCCCTCATTGTTGAGGGACTGTGAGTGGTGGAAGAATAAAACACTCACTCATCCCATAACCAGTTGGCAAAACTGCCACACAATTATTCCCTTGCAATCATGCATTTATTACTTTTTTTGCTTATCTTTTTATTGATAAGGTATCCATTGTCAGATTGACTCCAGTGATAGACTCAAAGTTTTAGAAAGCAAACATGGGGACCCCTTAAGTTGGTGTCTATTTATAAACACATTTTCTATATTCACTCATGTTTATTTGAATTATTTATTGTATTTATGAAATGTTATTCTC